ATAATAGAAATTGAAATTTAATCGAAGCAATCGAATAATTAAAATGATAGTCTATTTAAATTAATCCGTATAATGTAAATTGCTGTAATAGATTGTTAATAATCGACGGTTTCTAAGGGGTAGGCAGAGTAAGGGGAATCTGAAGAAGAAGGCGGAGATATGGTCGGAATTATTCGCAACTAGTCGCTCTTCGCAAGTTTTATTAATCCCATCATGCGTACATCATTCTCCGTTTGCTTTCAGACAAAAGAATCTCGTGTAAACATGCATGCGTCAAAGTCAAAATCGATGAATGACATTTTCCTTCGCTTAGGTATAGTTTATTTTAAAATAACTTAAATCAAAAACAATCATTTTTCATTTATTTGAAAATAAAACTTGTTTTTAAAATTTTAACAATTATTTTATTTGATACTTTTTAGTAAAATTAGTATAATAGTTAAGCGGAGAATAGGAACATAATTGAAGTAATAAAATAGCAGAAAGAAGATCGGTCAAATTAGTGACACTTGGTACCAAAGAGATACCAATGATCCGTATATATGTAGACATAAAAGTGTATTAGATAAAAAAACTTGTGAAAAGGATGTAGTACTTTTCATCTATTTTTCAAATTATTGAATTGTAGTGTAAATGCTTGCTTGTGTAGTTTAATTACGCAGTTTGCCACTTATTATTCTGTAGAAGTTTTCGAAATAGCGGCTTTCCTCCTTCCTTTTTTTCTGAAAAACGTGTATTTGTCGTTGTATGGAAGATTATCGATACTGTACCTTTACAAAACGTAGTAGCAAGAAAACTTGATGAAACGCGCGAGAACAAAAAAAAACAAAGTTAAGGATGCGTGCTACTAATACGTGTATATGGAATCCAGTTTTCACATTGTCCCACAAGGTATATTCTCCGATTTTCCAGTCCAACACATGAAAATCAACAGTTTTATGAGAACTCAGTATTTATTAATAAAATTCTTTTTTAAGCAATGTCAAAATATTTGTCGGATAGTTTTTTCTGACGGGTTTCAAGTTTTCTGTCTACTACATTTTGTTAAAGTACAGTGGGTATCTAAATTTTTCATACAACGGTAAATGCACGTCTTTCGAAAAGAAGAAAGAGAAAAACAGCGATTACAAAAATGTTACCAAAGGAAAAAAGTGGTGACTGGACGCAAAAAAGTCACACAATGCACACCACACACACTATTATCTCAGCTTTATTAATACAAACCGGTAGATACTTCTAAAGGATTCAAATACAAATACACCTCTTGGCGATTTTGTCATTTGTAGCATTAATTTTAATGTATAACTTTTTTAATAACGTTTTGTTTAAACATTGTCATATTGTTCTAATTGTATCATCTTTATTAACAGAAGAAAATCACAACGGCAAGTTCATTAACGACGATTTGGTCAATACTATCGAAAACTACCTTGTATATACTGAAGAAAATGGCAAACTTGCTAGAGAAAACGAATCGGAAATTTATAAATCTCCGGATGTTTCAAATGAAAAGAATATTAAAACTATCACCAACGATCAAGATATAAAACATAAAAATTACGATATAAAAACTCCTCCTCCAAGTCCAGCTGAGTACAAGGTCAATACCGCGAATGTCGTTGATGAAGACAATGTCAATCGAGATGCTTTTGGTAAGAGATAGTTTTCATAAATACTGAAAGCAAATGAGTTTTCTAAAGATTACGTGCAGTATTTTTTTCCTTATTATGACGAAACTCAATTGCTTTTATGAAACATAAAACGAAATAGTTATATATTTTGTTTTGATTTTTTTGTAGGATATTATTTATTATCAGCAGTAAAATTATTCCTATATTTTTCCCCTAATGTTTTGTTTTTTATTATTATTGAAGCCATGCAATTAAAAAGATATACACCGCAAATTGTCAAACAGTGATGTCTTTCTCTAAAAATACATGTACGGTATGACTAATCTAAATCGATTATTATAAATTTGTAAAGATCGAAAACAAATATCAATTTTAAACTTGGTTCAGATTATAAGTAAAAGAAATCTATTTAATAGTAATATTTTAAAAAAGAAGCATTTCCGGATCTATTGACATCACCCACAATAATTCGTAGTTTAAAATTTTGTAGATACACTTTTTGACCACTAAAACTTGACTTCTATGCTTGTTTGCCAAAATTATGGTGGGCTTCATATTATTATTAAATAATTTATTCCCTTACAATAATATATGTATATTTTTATTCAGATCAATTCTCTAACTGTAAGCATATACATATAGGTAAAAGGTTCCTTTTAAAATTGTTGCAACTACTTTCAATTATTAATAACTTACACTAAAGAATCAAACGTTATTTGAGGAATTGATTTATTTATTTATATTCAATAAAATTAACTATTGTAATGAAATGCTATACACTTGTAATATTTTTAAATAAAATTTTTGAATCAAAATTATCCAAATAAAAAATATTTTTTACTCAGTATTGTATGCGTGGCTTTCTAGAAGATAAAGGCATTAGGGAGAACAAATGTAACGTAGGCATAGATATCTGATTACTATATATTACAAGGCAACAATACATTAGGTATATGACGGAGATAACCGCCCCAGCCGGCAATCAATATTACGTTACCCTAACTGCCTATGACAGTACGCGAGCACACATGCATACTCGATCTCGTACATATATGTACAGAGTGTACCATTCTCGGTACTTTTGCGGGATATCTTTCTTATTTTTAAAGATGGAGGGTTATGGTTTTCGCAGTATTGTACTACATTTTTGTGAAATTAAGGATGATGGCAGAGAAATTTTCATATCCCTTTTAATTTTTGAAATGTAAGGGGGAATTAAAAACTATCAGTATTGATGCACTCCCCTCCCCAGTATGTCAGTTATCTTTAAACCTATCAAGGACGTTTAAACGTATCGTAACAGAATTTTTTCCATAGAATCCACCCTTAGTATCTTCCGTTTTTAGTTATAACGCAAATATGTATTTTTGAAGTAAAACTTCTTTACGCACGGTAGGGTAAGTTCATTTCATGCGAGTTGCTATGTAACGAAATCATGCAACGGATGTCCCTCCCTCTACTCGGCCACGTAGTCGAGTTCGTAGTGGGGATCGCTTGAGCCGTTCGTTACAGGCAACTCCGGCATGTATAGTGTAGCCCTAACAAAATGTATGAATGTATTTGTATGTGTTTGTATATGTGTGCGTACACTCTACAGTCGAAACGACGCCACTGACGCCAATTCCTTAACTCCTATCCCGGTATGCTTGTGTGTTTGAAGAAGTTTCACTTCAGTAGCGTGTTGTATAATTACACGTTGATTTTTTTTTTTTAAGTGGAATTCCCTGCATATTATTTTTTATATTTGTTAGATATAATGTGGGATTTCCAAAAATATACAATTTCATAGTATTATTTTCAAAAACAAGCACAGAATTTAAGATTTTCTTGTGCCCAATTGGTAAGAAATTGGAGGTGCTAGGAAAAAACTGACTGCTACTGAAAAAATTCTACAAGAATACTTTTGTAACTTCTTCGATAAATTTAAAGATAACTTAAATATGAAAGTGGTACCTCCAAGGGAATACTTTTCAATTTCGTCGTATATCTCAAAAACCAAAATATTTTGCTGGCGTCATCCTTAATTTCACGAAAAAGTTACAGACTGCTACCAAAACCGCAACCCTCTATCTTTAAAAATAAGAAAAATACCTTGCAAGTGCCGAAAATGGGATATGTATTACAGGTATACAACACTCAGGTTTGCAAAGGCTAATTTTATGAATTTAATTTTAATTATTACTAGCGGAAAGAACGAAGAAGCAATAAAATTTCACAAAAATAGATAAAAGTTTAGAGAATCTTCGGTTTTTTGTAACTTACAAAAGTGAAACCAGCAGACATGTTCGTTTATTATAAATAAATTAAAATTATAAAACTGGGAATTCAAATAGAAAACCTACCATAATTTAGAGAACAGTGTTAAAGTCAACAAAAAGCTATAAACACTTTTAATAACATTGCAAAGAAAAATGTTTTCTGTATTTGCCTGGAATTATTGCTCTCGTATTTCTACAGTATCTGTTATGTATTTATTGTACAATATGGGAATTAAAATGTATCAAATTCGTTTTACTTTTAAGTTTATCGTAGTGAATTCTAATAATATAGATAATAGTTCTGTATTAATTTACTAACAGTTTATATACACCTAAGAAAAGTAGCAGTTATTCGTGACCGCTTGATTATCTTGCGTAGATTTTTCTCTTTATGCTTATTGTAGAAATAGAAATAGTGCTTAAAATTTACTCCTTTTCTTAAGGACCGTCAAGCCGTAAGGAAACAGAGAAATTCATTCAATTTGAAAAATCTACATCGTATGTTTTTCCAAATGAAGATAATGAGAGAAATAAAAATGTAGAAATGTTACCAAAAGTTATAGCAGAACAGAAACTTTCAGAAACAAAAACTAACAATTTAGAAAAAACTGATACTGTTGAACAACAATACCCAGATGATAAAGATTTATCACCTGAGAAAATTAATTTAAAAGCATGTGAAACTCCTAACTTGCATAAAGTTGCACTGCAGAAGGCTTCCATGGATACTTCCTTTAATGAACTGTCAAAAAATGAGATAGAGAAGATTTCAAAACCAATAAAATCGGAAATTGGTAGTGATAGGTCAAAAGATATTTTGCAGTACGATTTAGGACCCATTGCACGAGTCAAAACTGAAGAGTTTTTAGAAGCTGAAAAAACCAATACGTCATCCTATCACCAATATCCAAAATTAAATAAACTTGACCGTGAATCGATTGTGAAAGAAGAATATCATTCACAGCTAGAAAATTCTACAACTGACCAAGAAAATTCAAAATTAAAAACCGCAACTGAATTGTTTTTGGACTCTGAAAAAACTTTATCGATGAACTCGTTTACGAAATATGAAAATACAGATCAAGATTCAAAGAAAACAATTAATCAACTATTAGAGGATGGGAAAGCCAAAAAAATGTTAGATAGTGAAAAAGAGTCTCATAAAGAAAAGAAATCGAAAAAAGATAAAAAACAGAAATCTGATGAAGAGCGAATCGCAGAATTGAAAGTAAATGTAAGTAATACCCTTACATTTTTACATCAAGAACGCAATGATTTTTTACCTGATGAAGATATAATTATTCCCCAACGGAAAGATGACCATGTTGCAAAAGAAATAAATTTAGATTACATTAAAACAAAAAAGCATCATCACTACGAAAATATAACGTCTCCAGAACGAACTACACATACTTATGAAAATATGCCTGCATTCCAACATGTTTATGAGGACGTTGATTTTCAAACTCGAGATACAACAACAGGTGAACCCTTATATGAAAATATATGTGCCGTGGCAAAGGATGAAGTTTCAGATGTTATTCATCAGGCAGAAAAAGTGGTCAATGAAGAATGTAATATATTTGAACCTCTACCTGAGGAAACTCCCATTATTGAGGAATTAATAGAAAACGAACATCCAACTAGAAAAGATGTCAACAATACTTTCTGTAGTTTAGAACACTTTCGTGATGATCTTTTAAAAACATCGCAACAAAAAAGCGAAGAAGCTTTTCAATTTCTTGAAAACGAGTTATCAAGTCCCTTAACCCCCACGGTAGAATCGTTAGGAAAGTCAGTGACATTCGCAGAAAACGTAGAATACAATTCCCCTAACCAACGTGAATTAACAAGTGCTTTTATTGAGTCCCAGTGTTCTAGTCCATTTTCTAAAAAAGAAGAACCTGATGCTCATAAAATTAAAAGTTCAATACCAGTTCCTAAACCAAGGCAAAAGCCAGCACAGGAAAAAGATATTGATTTATTATTTTCGGAAAACGATCAAGCATTAACATCCATGGAAAATGAACTATTAAGCAAAATTCCTGTAGCTAAAGGTAAAGTTAAAACTATAAAAAAACATTCTAAAGATCCTTTGAAAGAATTCGTCAAGCTTAGTCAAGATATAAATTGGGACGAAGAAATTGACGGTAAAATTACCAAGACGATAATTTCTGATGATAATGGTACTATTACTAAAACTACTATAACAGTTGATCCAAGTATAAAAACGAAAATCACATCACCAGAAGTTACGTTAACGTCGAAAGGAGTTATTTCTGACGAATTAACCGAGCATTCTGAGACAGCAAAAAGCAAAATTCCAAAACTAAAATCAGAAACAAAACCTACAAAAGCAACGGAGGAACCTATAACTGTATTAGAATCATCTAGTTTACCTGAAAACATTGTATCGCCTGGATCTGATTCAAAACATTCTAACAAAAGTAGTACTTTAGATTCTGACTCTGATACAGACAGTAGAAAAAGTCCCCCGTTGAAAGGAATATTAAAAAAAAATAATATACGTACCGTTGGCAGTTCAAGCGGTTCAGATGTCGCACTTCATGAAGACGGAGCAGAACTAAGCGAAGATGAATCAGGTAAAAAACGTGTAACTCCCAATTTATAACCTAAACTGTTTTCTGCTTTAACGTATTAATAAATTCTTTGCCTGCTGCATCTTCATAACTGAATATAGATAAATATTGTTTTTGAGTACCTACTGTTTTGCATTTGTGCCGTTTCGGAAAGTAATAAAAATAAATTAGGCTTTTATGCTGTATACTTATTTTTTGTACTTTTCAAAAACAAGTAAAAATTAATTATTATATATATAAAGTTGATTGTACTGCTAAATATTTTTGTTTTCCATTCAATTATAAAGCAAAAATCGTACGTTTTGCATGTATTTTTTGTGTATGCTAAATGAATTTTAAATGATGTTCTTGTTCAATATGTTGCCAATTTATATTTTTCATAATTACAAAAATAACCATTTTTGCACTAACATTAACTATAATTTTATGCACAACTACTAAAAAGTAACTTTTAGCAATACTGGTTTTATGTAAAATAAAAATAACATTACGAAAATGAAAAATTTAAATTAATGTTGGTTAAAAAAATGGTTTCGTTAATATAAAATTTTATAACATTGATATCTTGCATTAATATTATGTTGTTGCGTAGCTTCAAAAGTTCTAGAATCCTGGCATGTTTACTATACCCGTCTAGTATGGTCAGTTGTCGCATTGGCAACTAGCATGGTCGTGTTGGCAGTGTTCTCACAATATTGACGTATGGTATGCAAATAAATTCTTATATAGTCATACCTGATCATGGGGGTTTGTTTCATCTATTTTATTTTTTGAAAGGAAACTTAAATTTAGTTCCTTTTTTGTAAAATTGTAGTTTGTAGATCAAAGTTGATCTATAGTAGGGCAAATATATTTTTATAATTGACTGCCATACACACTATACACAGTTATTATATTACCTTGATATCCTTGTCTTAAAATAATTACGAAACTATTGAATTACCACTACATAAAAAGTGCACTTTAAAATCATTTGAACATACCAATATAATTGGCAATGACGGTGTCGAATTTTTCCCAACTTTTTGACGTAATAAAAGTTAGGATACATTTCTTTCTATTCTTTAGGTAGTTTCCATTTACAAAATTTTGATATAAACGTATAAACTTATTCACTACGCATTATTAGTGCTTTAGAACGTTGGTAACGTAAGATATTATTAAATTAATGGAATCATATTTTTTGTACAATAATCTGGATATCTTATTTTACCGTTGCAGTTATACTTCACTGATAATTATCGAATAAAGAAAACATTTGCTTTAATTTCTACTTGATATATGTGGTAAATGTGCATATGTTATACATTTGAATGTATATAAGTCGCACACTTGATAAAATTGTAGATAGAATGAATAGATTTCTCGTTGTAGTATCCTGCTTCTATTCAATTAATTTTTGTTAGATATCAATATTCCTGAAGTACTGGTAATACGTTAATACTAAATAATTTAATAATATAGTTTTGTATCATACATATGTACATATGTATATAACAAAATTACATTCCATGTAATAGTTGAAAAAATAAATTACCATATCATTTTTTTCTTTATAGTTTGAAAAATATTTTCCCAGACAATATAATAAAACTTCTTGGAACTATTGACAATTACAATGCAGCTGGCCTTTAGAAACACATTTCGCATATACCATCATATACAACAAATAATCTTCATGCCTTCTCTTATACAAATCTGCTTGTTTTTAGTGAGGTTCTTCAAAAAGGAAAAGGTTTAGTTTTATAAATATTCACTGGGCATGATTTTTGCTTGAATTAAAAGTGTAATATGTAGTCGTTTATCTGTATATATACGTCTTTCTTAAAAGTAAGAATTAAATATTTTAATTATAGTTATGAGCACTCTGCATGCGCTTTACTTTGTTCTTCTAGTTTTGTAAATAGTGATATTTGTACTAATATTGTGGTGCAATATGGTGCGCTGAATTTTCTAATTATAGCCATGTTATTGTTATGTGCATTGTTTTTTAAAACTACTTAAGTGCTTCTTACATACATAACTCCGTATGAAAAGAATTTTGTGATAATTAACTAAATTCATTTAAAGATAATAACAATCGTGTAAGTTATTAATATTCTTTTCTTATGGTTTTTTTTTGCTTTGAATGAACAGCAATAAACTGTTGCTACATGGTTTCAAATCATAAAATTGAGTGCCTTTTTCCTTTTTAGAAGACCTATGCCAAAATGACCAACCACAATATACTGAAAGTATCACAGAAGAGATTGACCCTCACACCGGAGCAAAGTAAGTTTAGATATTTAAGTTTTCTGCTTAGAAATGAAACCTGTCAAGTACGAGTCATACTTTCGGACATAGGATTTCATACCATGCTAATTCACCTTCTAGCATTATTGAGATAAATTCTTGTGACAGGCGAACAGGGAAACACCCCAATCTCAATAATAAGATCCCATTGGCTTTTGATAGTCGTAAAAACCTTTATAGAATTATTGAAATTAATTNTTTTTAGAAGTCATTTTTTGAAAACAGAAAACTGCTAAGGGGCCCCTCGACTGCGGGGGCCCCGGTGCGCCGCACCGCTTGAACCAGCCTCGCTACGGCTCTGTATAAAATGTATTGCTGCTTTTTTTTAAGAGGTCCTTGGATTTGTGCTTGGTATCCTAGGATGGAAAACTGAATAATTTTAAGAGATTGACCAAGAGCGCAACCACTGAAAATTCATGTACTGTAAGTGTTAAGACTAATGAGCTCTTGGTCAAAAAACAGCCCTGATATCCTCACATTTTATTGTAAATTGAATTCAGCTTTGTGCTTTCAACTCCGGTTCAAATTAGCGTATCACAATATTTTTTATTTTTTGAAAGAAGCTCCTTTTCGAGTATGTACTTTCAAAATATGTTTCGAAAATTTAAATTGATCCAGTATTAGCGAAATAGCCAGATCTTGCAATTTGGCAAAACGGGTTCGAAAATGTAACCGTCCCTTTGCATGTCAAAAATTTGCACGCCTTAAAATGTTTCTGTTTGACCTAGACAACAATGTTTTTCACACAATGTAAATTGCAAAATTATTACGTAAAAAATATAAATCATAAATCCGACCTAGGTGAAATTTGAAGTGATTATTTATCATAATAAACAGTTTTCTTTTACCCAAGTATGTAGGTTTTAGGAGTAATGATCCGCAAATTAATAAATTTTTTTACGCCTTGTTTGCAATGTTTTACATTTTTGCAATGGAACGAGTGTTTTGAATTTTATTCATTATTTTTTTTATAATAAATAAATATTTTTTTTTATTACAATAATAGTCAAATTTGCATTTGATAAAGTTATTAATTAATATTTTTTCAGGGTTACAAGAACTGTAAGAACGTTAACGCAAACAGTAAGAACTGGCAACGATCAAATCCAAGATCAACTACGAAAGTCAATGCAAGAAGTGCTAGACCAATTTATGACTGCAGAAAAACAACCTCAGTAAATATATTTTTATCTCTTTTCTTGTACATGACAATGTTTAAATCTAAAATAACGAATTGAGATAATGACAACTAAATTTATCTAGAAAACTGAAACACCTTTTTGTTCTTGTATGAAAGAGTACTGATTTTCAATTCAAAATTTATTTGACTATTTACAATACCGTTTATGTACGGTAGAAAAGAAAAGGCTTTACTTACTGTATTTCAACTGATCTAAAATTTAATAGTAGTAGTATTTTGTAGTAATAGCTTATATTCACAAATAAAAAATTATTTCATTTAAAATTTTTGAATCGTAATTTAATTTATATATAAATTGCTGGTTTGTGTGTTTGTTATGCATATGTAATTTATTGATAAAATTTTTTCCATTTTACATGTTTTATAGAATTTAAGTAATAATTGATTAAGTTCATTTTTTTCTTATTATATATACAATTGTAAAAAATACTGCAAGAAGCTGTTCAGTAGTAATATGGTAACACTAATATTTTTTTTGCAATTACAAAACCTTACTAACATTGCAAATGTACATTTCCATATATTGCCAAATTAACAAATTGTTAAGAAAGGTAACTGTTGCATAAGAAGCGGTTGTTATAAATACATATTTTCATAGCAGTTACTTTGGTCTTTCCCTTTAGCATTTACTTCTACTTTCCGGTGTCATATAAAAGGGTTGAATAGTTATAAATTTTATCTAAAGTTGTTGCATATTAATTAATATATACTGTTTTAAAGTAATATATACAAATAGTGTACTACGCCTGGTTTTATATTATCTGTAGAAATATTGCTTCTGGAAATAAATTGTTAAAAAAGCATATATCTAAATTAGTTTACATTTAAATGACCTATAAAAAAAATTCCTCATAATAGGTCAGGCGGTATCTGTTTTGGATTAGATGAAAAGGGTAGTATGCTAGATTTTTCTTGGAATCACTTGTAAAAGTCATAAGGAAAAATACTTTCACAATGCAGTCACGAAAAAACGTAAAAAACTTATTGTCAAATAATAGAGAAAAAATAAAAATAAAAAAACTCGTTATTTTTATCAAATGACAGCGTATATATAACAAAACTATTGATTTATAGGAAGAGTCATAAAGAAGAACAATCTTCATAATTAAATTTCCTATAAAGTGCAATTGTTTGCAAATCACAAAATTTATTTTTTCCATTGCAAACAAAATTTATTAACTTGCGTATTTTTTTTTTCATGTACTTACATTACTCCTAAGACCTACATACTCCGCTAAAGAAAAACTTTTTATTATGATAAATCAGTGTTTCTTAGCCACGGACCCCTCAAGTATATGTATGAGGGACCGCCGCAGTCTCACCTGTGAACCATTCAAAAATAATTAATAAATGAAACCTAGTCTCGCAATCGCTACGCTTACTAAGCACAGCGAACGTGCGCCAGCGGGGAGAGATAATAACATCTTCCATGTTAAGGATAAAATAGAAACTATGCTAAGAAATGTTGACCTTTGGACTAATTGTACAATTCAAAAACAATAATTACTTTCCTACACCAGCAGCGTTTTTGGGATTCTTTGGTGGAGCAATTGTTGCCAACACAAGTGCAAGACAAAATTATTAAACATCTCCTCGTCTTGAGGTCTTCGTTTCGGGATTATTTTCCAGTACCAGACCACAATAAAAATTGAATACCAACACAGATGTTACTGATATCACTGGATTAACAAGAAAATCAAGTAATAGAAATATCCTTGTGATTCAGCTTTGAAACGTAATTTCAGTGATTCCTGTTTATCAAGTTTTTGGGTGAATATAAAAAAAAGATTATAAGGAAATATCAGATCAAGCACTGAAACATTTACTGCTTTTCTTAACCACATGACCCTGTAAAAAGGCATTCACTTCTCTTGTATATGTACTAAAAACAAATGCAGAAACAAAATTCAAATGCAATCCGATTTGAGATTACAGCTTACTACTACTACTAAAATCAGCCCAAATGTCAGCAACTTAATAGCGAAAAAGCAGCACCAACTTTCACATTAACGTATTTTTTTATGAATAAGCTTTTTAGTATTTGCAGTACTAAAATAAATGGTATAAAATCAGGGCCGTAGCGATGAGCTCGGGGCCCCGGTGCGGTATTCCACAAGGGGCCCTTCTTAAAATGATGATGATCAGAAAAATGTCATTAAAAAAAGTTTTAATTTCACGAATAGATGATAACCTAACCTCTCACGGNAAGAAGAAGAATTTATAAAATATAAAAAATATCTTGTATCTCTAAAATTAAAGCTAATCGGTTCTTTTAATGGTCGTTTTTGCATTCGGTAAACGAGAATACATAGGATAGGACTAATTTTGAGACCGAAACAATTTCATTGTTGCGCAGTGAATCAAAATTATTGCTTAAAAACTTAAAATATTGGCGAAAAATGAAACTCCCTTTTTTACTAAATTGTTTTGTTCGTTTGCTCTTGAGATAATCAACACAAAAACAATTCACACGCAAGCTCTCCCACGCACGCACATAAATCCACTTAAAAATTGTAGCATTCAACTCTAGGGACCTTAAAACGTGGAAATATATCAAAATGTAGGATTCACAAAATCGAACCCATTACAATATAACATCCGACTGAGAAGTTGAAAATGTTCCTTAAGTAACCTGTCTACAAAGAAATTATAACTGGTCATTTTAAGTTGATAATGATTACAATGATTTATTATAAATCTGGAAGTATTAATAGCCAAAGCTTCCAGAAATTGTAGTTTTCCTTCTTTTTCCATTTTGACAGTAATTTTAACAATTTACCGTAGGTACCATTCGTAGAGCTAGGTAGTATCCGGATATGTAGGTATGTATCTGTTATCCATATCCGCCAAGTATTTAGTAAAATATCCACATCAGCATAATTTTTATCTTTCCCGGATATAATTCATTATTCCGCAGTAAATCTTTCCTGTGTAGGACGAACGCGATAATAAACAGTTTTCTTTTACCCAAGTATGTAGGTTTTAGGAGTAATGATCCGCAAATTAATAAATATTTTTACGCCTTGTTTGCAATGTTTTACATTTTTGCAATGGAACGAGTGTTTTGAATTTTATTCATTATTTTTTTTATAATAAGTTCAGCCCACGGTTTTACATGTCCGCATTGTGATAATATCTTTCCATGTGACTTTTGGAAGTAACTCCAACAAAAATCTAACACACTACCCTTTTCATCCGAACATAGATGTTTTCAAACACTAAAAAAACTCGTAATCGATTATTATCTATCAATAAAGGAATCAAAGGGTGTGGTTTTACTAGAGCATTTTTAAAATTTCATGTTACTAAATTGTTTATTCAAACGATTACTTAATCTTACATAATAAATTAATTGTTTTTTCTTCAATACTGCAGCCACAATAAATGCTACATAAACCTTATATAGAATACTGCAAAGAACACACAAATTCTTTTAATAATTTAAATAGTTAAAAACAAAAATTAATTTTTGTCTTTTAATCTGAAATTAATAAATCAAGTTAGATTCAAGCTCGAAGTTCTAGATGTTTGTGATAAATGCCTGCGTGCTTTTCCAAATATATTTGCCATACAATCAGTTGAGGAAGGTGCTCCACCACTAATATTGTTCGCTAGCTGGTAGTAGACGACTTTATCTTCATTTTGATGTCCATATGTTACATTTTTATCAGTTCTAAAAGGCAAATATACATACTGATATTAATATTATATGTATTAAGCACCTAGGACAGTGCCGGATTAGCCACGAAGCAAGAGCAGCAAATGCTGCGGGTCCCGCCATTTATTATTTACATATTAGATTTAGTCACAACTCACAATTACTAAAAAGAAAATATTTGCATCAAAATGATGATTTACTCAGAGAAGTCGATATCAACAGCATTATTTATAAATTTCCCCAAATTAAATCAAGAAAAGTTTGTTTGTAACAGTTTTGTTTTATTTAATCCCATAAACTCGATAAGTACTTAACCTAAAACATTCTAAGGGCCCCTTGATAGAATTTGCGACAGGCCCCGCGTTGGCTTAATCCGGCACTGACCTAGGACGGTAAAGCAAAAATGCGTATGCTGACTCTGAAACTGTACTTCTCAGGACGAACACACCGAGTTGAATATTAAAGAAGGAAAAAATTCAAGTACTTATTGGGATACCTAAACAAACAAATGCATAAAATAATCAAAATTATTGCTTAAATAACTGCGCAAAAAAAAAGTTGAACGTTTGCTTTACTTCATAAGTCAATTCTAGGTTAAGGAAAACGAATATGACAAAGAAAAAATTTATTAGCTCTACATTTTGTGATATGTAAATGATGAAAATTATTGTTTCTAAGAAATTGGTAAATATGAATTACAGATGCTAACAACATTTAAAGTGTGATTGTACTATCATTCAAAATTCATTAAAAAACACTTGCCAGGTGTTTAGATCTACGAAGAATCAACCGATTCCTTTGATCGCGATCTTTTAGCTTTCCTTTTGTAAGTGACCTCTGAAGGATCTATACATTTAAACCAGCAGTAATCTGCAAGCATTGCTTCATTCCAGCAACCCTGATATTTTCGTTCCATCACAGAAATATCTTGAAGGAATCGTTCTCCATGCTCATCACTGACTTCTCCGCAATTAGGTGGGAAAAATCAAGATGGGAGTGGAGAAAATAGATTTTTAGGGACATATTGCAGCTGAGTTGGTGGTATTTTTGTAGAAGTTCAGTAACCAATTGAGGGTAGTTATCATTTCTTTTGTTCCCTAAAAATCCATGTATAACTCCCTTAAGAGCTTCCCAAGCTTCCTTTTCTTTCCTTTCCAAAACTAAATCGAATACAATGTCCTTTACAAGTTGACGTATTTGTGGCCCAATAAAGATGCCTTCCTTGACCTTTGTATCACTTAATTTAGAAAATTTGTCTCTTAAGTATTTAAAAGCCTGGCCTTTTCTTGGTTCATAGCTTTAACAAAATTCTTCATCAAGCTCAGTTTGATATGTAAAGGTGGAAGATGAACATTTTTTGGATCTACGAGTGGCTTGGCAATTACGTTTTTCTCACTAGGGTTAAGATTTCTTGCATGCCAATCTGCTTGAATATAATGTGATTTTCTATCCTTACTATCCCACATACATAAAAAGCAACAGTATTTCGTATACCCTAATTGCATCCCTAAGAGTATAGCAATCACTTTTAAATCACCGCAGATTTTCCACTTATATTCCAGGTAGTTGATTGAATCTAGGAGGTCTGCCATGTTTGCATAAGTTTCCTTCATGTGAACCGCATAGCCAATACGAATGGAAGGTAGACGGTTGCCATTATGAAGCAACACAGCTTTCAAACTAAGCTTGGAGGAGTCTATGAAAAGTCTCCATTCAGTTGAATCATGCTTCATATTCAAACTTTTCATCAAGCCATTAATATTACAACAAAAAATAAGGTTATTATTCTTTTCAAAAAAAGGAATCAAATCCCTATGACGTTGTCTGTACTTGGTAACCCTGACATCATTCTGCAGGAGATTCCATTGCCGTAACCTTGATTCTAGAAGTTCTGTCTTCTCCTGTGACAAATCAAGATCTCTAATTTTATTTTTTTCATTGACAATCCTGCTTTTATAGTCGGTGTCAAGCAAAAATTGCAATCGTCTATGTGGTTAGTGGGCTCCCGCCAAATCGTAGTCATAGCAAAAGCCATGGATCGTTTTTTTATTTTTCAGCCATTCTCTTAATATAACTAAACACGAATTGCAACATATGTGGAGCCCATGGCTTATTTTGGTTTCCTACTTTCATACCAAAATAATGTTGATATGCAGTCTTCACAAATTGCGTTTTTGTATGGCAAACGTTATTTCGCCACAAATGTTACAAAAATTATTAACTAAATTTACACATTTCCGTGGCATGTTGATTTCTCTCTTTAAAACACTCCAAAACAAGATGACATGCACGAAATACTATAAATTTCACCGTTACCGCAATACTATCATACTTAGCAATCTTCTGTCAGTCAAATTATAATTTGAAAAATAAAATTTGTGTATTTTGACAATTAACAATGTTGCCAACTTCGAAAAACAAATTTTCCGCAAATTGAAAAAGAAGAATTTATAAAATATAAAAAGACTAATTTTGAGACCGAAACAATTTCATTGTTGCGCAGTGAATCAAAATTATTGCTTAAAAACTTAAAATATTGGCGAAAAATGAAACTCCCTTTTTTACTAAATTGTTTTGTTCGTTTGCTCTTGAGATAATCAACACAAAAACAATTCACACGCAAGCTCTCCCACGCACGCACATAAATCCACTTAAAAATTGTAGCATTCAACTCTAGGGACCTTAAAACGTGGAAATATATCAAAATGTAGGATTCACAAAATCGAACCCATTACAATATAACATCCGACTGAGAAGTTGAAAATGTTCCTTAAGTAACCTGTCTACAAAGAAATTATAACTGGTCATTTTAAGTTGATAATGATTACAATGATTTATTATAAATCTGGAAGTATTAATAGCCAAAGCTTCCAGAAATTGTAGTTTTCCTTCTTTTTCCATTTTGACAGTAATTTTAACAATTTACCGTAGGTACCATTCGTAGAGCTAGGTAGTATCCGGATATGTAGGTATGTATCTGTTATCCATATCCGCCAAGTATTTAGTAAAATATCCACATCAGCATAATTTTTATCTTTCCCGGATATAATTCATTATTCCGCAGTAAATCTTTCCTGTGTAGGACGAACGCGATAGTAGAAGAAGGTACTTTGCAAAGTTCCCCATGTCACAATAGAAGAGAGAAAAATACGCGGATGGACGAATGCGCACCAAAATGTACACCCACAAATATAACTTAAGATTTAGGTGGACTGTGTGTAGATGTTCAAAGTGTAAACTGCAGGAATACTCATCTTTGCGAATCCAACAGCCAGTCAGGGCCGCCACAAAGATGTTTCACATCAAAAATGTTTGCATCTGTTAACCGCAAGTATCCGGATACATGTATTTAGGCTACATTTTTCAGCTAAAACCATCCGTATCCGATGTAGGAATACATTTTACCAGTATCCTAACCCAACTTAGGCATTTTTGGTTTTCGTCAGTCTCTAATTTAGATAACTGTTATCGAAAAGGAGGTAGTTTCGGCGTTTAGTATCGTGTTTTGGTTACAGAATTTTAGCGATTCAACGACTTCATTTTCGTGATCAACGACCCCACAAACCTTATGACTGGCTCGAACGAAATATACGAATTTTTTAAAAACCAATCCGCCATTTTAAATTTTGATCATTTCAATTTATTTTCATCAAAGACTCCGAAAATCCATGAGTATTATATTCGGGATAAAAAACAAACTTTGTAGTTCTGTTCAGAAAATTTTGATTTTGTCCATTATACGCCAGAACATATGTTTTTTATTGTGCGAACAGGATGATAATAATACAAAAATAAAAAATAATAAAAATAAACAGTATCATTCTCTTACCTAAGAACTATATCAGCAATTTCGTCATCATTGATAAAGCATTCGTGCATCTTAGTTATGGTATTTAAATCAATATTCTCTTTTAAACCCCCTTCGTGTACATATTCCCATTTATGGTTCGTAAGAAGGTAGCTACATGGTTCTTGACTTGAACTGCTATTTTCACTGCAGTTTTCATCATCACCAAAATTTTCTAACTGTCCTGATAACTCTTCAGCAAATAGTATACATTGCTCGTACTAAAAAATATACAAATAAAAAAATAATGATAAGATCAATAATAATATGAAAATGATTAAACAAAAAGCCCTTGCCATGTTACAAATAAATTTTATTATTAATCAAATACTCGACAACTGTTTCGCCAGAAAGTCTCAATATCAAAACAACACTGCGCCTGTAAACATATGACGGTGAACGACGCATGAAATTCAAAATTTGACTCAATTTCCCTAAATTTTTAAACTCTGCAACTTTTTTCATTGTAAAAATATGAAGTACTTTTATTAATTCTAATTTTGTAAAAATATTTAATCGTCTCTCTCCCCCTCCCTCCCTCCACCCCTCTTTCTCTCTCTTCAATTTCTGATCTTGTTCTTATGAAAAATTCGATTAATAACAGAATCTGGAAACAGTCGTTACGCGTCTCTTCTAGATTTATTTTTGATGTATTTCCAAATAGATTAGTAAATATAAGAGTAATGACTTAAAGCGATTTTTAAATCCTGAAGTGTACAACGAATAACGCACTAATTTTTAACTTATCTTCTATACCATTAGCGCGATATAAAGCTATACATACCAAACGACTTATAATAGCTGGAGAATCACTAGCTCCATCTTCAAGAAATAAGTTAATAGATAAATCTTTCAAATTTAAAAGAAACAACACACACTCTTTAAAATCATATTTTTCAATCTTTGTATTTTGAGTTTTCTTTTGCTGTAAAAATAACAAAGCACTAATTTCGCATATTTGCAACTTTTTGTTATATTTACCTGTCCCTTCAAACCATTCCATTCTCCTAAAATATAAACCATTTTACAACTGAATTAAAAAATAAATTTTATTAACATACCGTTTTCTAGAAGCGTTTTATGTACTAACTTAGTACATTGTTGTATGCTTTTTTCAGGTACTTGATGATTTCCAGAATGATGTACTAACAAATCGCTCTTCAGATCGTCAAAACCGAAAGTTTTATTACAATAATATTTAGAACTTCCATCATCTTTATCACAGTTGTTTTCTTCACAAGGTGTATTTATTTCATTGAAGGTTTCTCTTCTTATATCAAGTTTTTTAAAATAACCGTGATGAAAACAGTCTTCGTACATACTTTTAGATATGGCAATTCCTTTTACACTCATAAATGGATTAATGGGATCACAAAGTGATTTGGCAGTACGTCCACTGTACATTTTGTTAACATTATTTAACGTTATTGCGTTATTAGAAATTCTTTCAAGGTCAACTAAACTAGAGAACGTCTTAGTCAAGCCATTTTTTAAGTAATCATGTACATTAATGCCAACAGAATGTGTTGGTTTATAATAATCATAATCGTTCCATTCATCGAATAATTTGGTTGTAAATCCTTTATAAAATTCTTTCTAAAACAGCGGAATTTATAAAACTTGAGTTTCTACTGAGGTAAACATTTCAGACTAATAACATAATAATACTTTGTCATTACTGTTTTTACAGTGGGAACCTTTGTATGATTTAGACTCTTGAAGAATTTCTTCATAATCTTCCTTGTTTACATATATTTGAAGAAGCTGAAGGTTTCTTGGACACTGAAAATCAGTCATAATACTTTCAGCAGAAAGTTTGGTTTTAGTTGCATTTGTTATAAGAAGGCACTTTGTTAGTAACGAATTAAGTTGGGTAGCGAGCAATCTAAAATTAAATTTTACTTTTTACTGAATTCATAAGAAAAATATAATACATATAATATTCAAAAAATTAATTAACCATCTTATAATTGTTATAAATAAATACTTACTTGCTATTCCATTGAACCAGTCCTGCCAGTACATATCTTGTTTCAAGACAATTATTTAAAAACTTTTGAGCTTCTAAACTATACGAATTAAATATTCTAGATTGATTTAAATCAGGAAGTTTATAAGCAAATGTATCTAAATTTAAATATTTCAAACAGGATTCAAACATTTGATGCAGTTTCTCAACAAAAGTCTGAGTATCCTTATAAAAAGTTGACATATGTTCAAAGCTAACATGGAACATTCCTATTAAGTTTGACAAAAATTCTACTTTATTTTCCAAAATCCAATTAGGAACATTTCGATCAATTCCAACTGCCTAAAAGAAAAACATATATTTCAATTTGGCCACATGAATTTCTTTATGAGTGCAAATTTATTAATAATGTTGCACTTATATTAATAAATGAACAAAATACATTACTTAAATGTCAGTTCATTAAACATTGTTTAAACGTTGCAAATATACAATTTTGCCTCGTTTTTTGGCATTTATCTCGAAAACTATCAGAGTAATCGTAATACCCCAAATAGATAATATATTTAGAAGTCACGGTCAGACCTATTTTTACTGACAAAAACATGAAAAACCTGTGAACAAAAGATAATTTTTGGAATATTCATAACTTCGCTAATTTAATGTTTTGCAGTATCGGTCATTCGAGAAAAAATAGTGGCCATTATGTACAATATGGGCCAAGTAAGGATTCTGTCAAATGGTTTTTGCACAAATGAAATGATTAATTATTAATATTCTGGCAAATACTGTCGCGTAAGCTATTCCCATGAAAAGTTATGGGGGTTGAAAGTTGATTATTCTGACAATTTTCATACACTATAATTCAAATAAAATTCAATAAAACAATTATTTTCAAGCGGGTGGAGGTGGGGGATCGAAAGAGAGTGGTCACTTGAACAAACCCCGATAACATAACCTAACCTAATCTATTGATAAAGATATTTAAATAATGTTTTATATAACTTTCTCAATATTTTTATGTATTTTTCATTAGTTTTACCTTTGAATATTGTTTAAGAATGACTTTATAACTATTTACATGCCTAGAAATGTAAAAAAATTGGCATATTTATTAACTTTGAACCCTCATAACTTTTTAGGGGGGTGAGACCGCCACGAACTTTTTATGGTACAGTGGTGGGGGAGACCTCCTCTTTCGATCCCCTACCCCCACCCCCGAAGGGGATGGTGGCCATCATCTAGACCTTTACCAAAACTGACATTTGTTAGGACCATTTCTGATATTTTACACCTTGGAACCTAATTTGCATATTCTGATTTTACCTTTTAAATAATAGACTGTTAATGAAATGGAAAAAATAGATAATCGATTTCTATCGATGCATTCTAAGTTTCGACACTGGCGTCAATTATTTAGTGTTTTAGTGATAGTGGTGCCGTCAGTTCGACTAATTATGATATTTACTAAAGCTGCTTTCATAGTGAACAATATAACTTAATTGAATTAATTAAATAATATTAATATAATTGATAGTTGTTTTTATGTATGTCTAACCTATGTCAGTTTGTTCAATGGTTCCTTTTAATGGTACTCCTGAAAAGGTTTATTTAGAATTGTGATAATTTTGACGCTAATGTCTCTACCATAACTCCGGCCTATAGAAATTCCAAACTTAACGAATCTGTAGAAGATTTTTAAGATAGAATTCAAGTCATCTTAACAAAATTAGCAGGGATTTTTTACGGTGATCCAATTCAGAACGCATTAATGAGTCACTGTAAGTGGCAGTCAGCATTTTTAAATTATCTGTAGGTGAACCCTATTATTGGCATTTAAAAATAAGCAGGCCAATTTTTTTATCACATGCACTCTACTATTGCAAGAAACTAAACAATGAAAACAACTTAATTCTAAAGATTATCAGGCTCATAATTAGCCGCTAGTTTTAGCCGCTGACGCTAATTTCAAAAGAAGTTAGCATGCAAACTGGTTTTCGGGTTTCCCGGTTAATTTGCGGAATACTCACAGCAATTTTCAAACGTGGTTTAGAATATTTACTATAGTCTCAGCCGATTTTGTAGCGGTTGTCTAGCCATCAAAATCAAAAAATGTCGCTATTTCACCCTTTTATTTTCGCGACAAAAAGTAGCCTATATGTTTCTCCTAGGTCCCACCTATCTCTATACCAAGATTCATAATTCAATTATGTAGTTTAGCGGTTTAAGCGTGAAAACGTAACAAGCAGACTTATTTACGGATTTAAGTAATATATCCGGCTAATGATGAAAATGTTTTCGGTTATTTAACCCTTAGTCCCAAGACATATATTTTTATACACGCAACCTACACTTAGGTACGGAAATTGCCGTGTTTATAAAATCGAATTAAGAAACTTTAAAAGCAGAACTATGTAAATGGATGGCGACTTTTGTTTGATGAAACAGATCTATACTAATAATAAAAATAGTTGTTTTTAAGAAAATAAACGATTTGTTACGAATAATTTCGACAGGTTGAAAATGAAAAAAAACAATTATAAAAAAATCTATTGATTATTTTTCAATGGGATCAATTTTAATCAAAAAAGTGTAAAAAATTACTACACGCGCCTTTGCATTTTCCAAAAAAAAAACAAAATACAAATTGGCCCAAAAACTACGCCATATGCTTGTTGTGGCAAAACTATAACTTTAATAGAAAAAATTTTCAAATAAAACTTGTCCCATATTTTAATACAAGAGCGTCTGCGCATTTAAATTTGATTTACCATACCAGTTTAAAAAAAAAGGTTATAACACAGTTAAATACTGAGCTAGTCGAAAACAGTTATAGGAAAAATGTACTAAAATGTGATGCTATGCAAATATTTTTTTTTAACCATTGTGACCAAATAATAAGTTTAATTGAAACATTTTTCAAACAAAACTTATTCTTATCTCTATTTCATTTGTCATTCAGAGTATTCAAAAATATAAAAAAGAGTTTCTCTTAAATGGCAGCACATTACATAGTCCCATATTTTAGAATTCCGAATAACTTTTTCCTGTAACTTTTTTTGACCCATATTTGACTGTACTCCCATTTAAACGAGACTTTCTTGTTTATATTTTTGAACACTATATAGCAAATGAAATATAGATGTTGCAGATGATCTGTAGTAGTAATGTAATAGGAAGATCAAACTAATTAATAACTCCTGGTGCTACACTGAAACCTGGGGAGGGGTTGGCTGACTTTGTACATTGTGAAACGACCACAGCTAGCAACAAAATAAAACGACCACTGGTAGCATGGTCGTTTTACACTATGCTTCAAACGACCAGGGCTAGCAGTGGTCGTTGACGGACCACGATCCTAACTGATATACAGATACAGTCGGGTAGGTATATTACCAATACAACTTTTTGCCTTAGTCTTCATAATGCTCCTGAGCAGTTTTTTGATAGCGCCCCTTGTAAAGTCAGTTATCGAAAAAAAAATCAATTTATTTATTAAACTAGCTGTGCCCGTCTAAATTTGAGAATGGTGCATTGCACTTACATTTTCATTTTAATTTCAATAATTTTCTACTTCGTGCTTTAAACGTTCAACATTAAAAAAAGTAGTGTACATATGGAATGAAATTGTAACTAAACAATAGGCGATTTCTAATTAGAAACTCTTATTAAAAAAGTCAATCGAAAGTAGTCCTAAGCAACCCTTCGATCTTTATATGCAGTAAAATACACACCCATAAACATTTAGTCCGCTCTGTTCTTTACAATTGATTAGCCAAAATAGGCGACTTTTAATTAAATATTATCATTACTAGAAAGCATTTTGGATATTGAAAGTAGGTATAAACAACACTTCCATCTTTTAATTAAACGTTTTAATAGTCAGTTCCAAAATGTTGCACTATCAGCTATTTCAGTTAGAAGTCTACAAGGCAAAAACATTTTTTTTTGCTATTTTTATTGGATAAACTTTTAAATTACTTAATAGTCAGGTAAATCTTCACATTTCCCTTAACTATTTATGAACAGGAATCTAATCTAAATCTACCTCAATCAATTGAATTTTTGTGTATATATTTCAATGAAATTTAAAATTTACAATTTTATATCTTAATTGTATTTCAGCTTTTAAACCAAAAACTTTTAACCTATGGGTACATAGCCGCCCGACCTGCCCCCCCCCCTTAAAGCCAACACTGGAAGTATCATAAAGCAACTGCTTAAAACTAGGCCTTGTTCTTGTATATCTACATATAAATTTTTAATAAAATACCATAATAAATTTTCCAAACTCCTTGATACAAAACTTTCCATTCTCAAGGGAAATTATTTGAGTTTGTCCAAATACAGATTTTAAGAAGTGAGTAGTTCCTATTATTTGACCACAAATAGTTGTTTTCTTCTCTTCTGAGAGCCATGAAGGGCAAAAATACACAACTGCTAAAGCTGGATCATCATATTCATGCTTTACCAAATCAGTATTATAAACAAATACGATTGTTAGCTCCCTACAATAATAAATTACAAATAAAAACTAATTCCTCCTTCAGCTTAATGAGGCAGATGTAATACTTACTTCGACATTTTTAAATCAATTTACATTTTAAATAAATTGGTTTGTTTCTACTGTATGCAGAAATATGATCAAATATCAATTGCGATGAATGGGTGAATGATAAATTTATTAAGCAGTCTGATAAAATAACTGAAAATAATAAAAGAACAATATCAATGATACCATAACCACATAACAGCCAATTCAAGCTGTCACACCATGATGAGCCACGAATATAGTCGAACGTTGACAACCTATTATCTATGTTGACAGCTTAAGAACAAATTATACTTCATTTACTTTATCTAGCGATGTTCCCCTGTCAATGTGTTCGATGCGCGCTGGCAAAATCGTAGGTAGGGAGAAAAAAGCTCATTTTACTCCTAAATCTTGTTCATTAAATATACCTTTTCATACAGTACTTGCCAAAAATTTTGTTCAATCATGAATAGTAGTAGTTAACATTGCTATATTTCGTTCGTAAAATTATATATAGTTTTATTGTATTATATTATGTGTCTATGGTCCTTTGTTCAATTTTAACCAATTGTGAAATTATATGTAATATAGTGCTTTTGAAAATCGGCGTACTTTCGTAGATGTTTTACTTCGTGCCATAGAGAAGTTGCGGTAAACTTGGCACTCTCGGTACAAAAATACCCAGCGGTACTGTCAGGAAACATACTGAAAATTGAGTTGCAGAAGGACAGTGACATTTTGTTATAGAAAATGTAGACAATCGGCTGTTTCAAGTGAGGTAACAGGCAAGCTTGCGTCTGTTTTTGAGCAGTCCGTAAGTATATCAAAATTAGGTACTGCAGACGATTTGATATTAATGTTGATTAAAGTAAAGAACAAAACTTACAAAAAATACCATTTAACTTTACTTTGACCACAATGACCATATTGCGTACTTTTTGGGTCACCCTGTATACAATTGCTGCTAAATGTAGAAATTACGTTTGCGTTTGTAGATAATAGGAAACGTACTGTTTCATCATCATACATAATAGATACACAAAGGGTAATAGATCGTCAACTCGAAACGCGCCGATTTGCGCGCCCTCCGGCAGGTTTAGTCACAACTAAATAAAAAAGGCGCGCACTTTAAATGTGCTAGTTATTTACTGTTTTTCGTAATGTGCAAGATAAAGTGAAAAATGGATAAGAAACAATGTAATTTCCTTTTTTATAAAAGAAAACACATTGTTTCTTTGTAAAAAAGGAAATACATTGTTACTTGTCCATTTTTCACCTTAACATAAAAACTTGCGAATTTATAAGTGTAAAAGTGATAATAAGTGAAAGAATAGTAAAAGAAATTTATTGAATGTAACAAATAAACTTGTACAAAATAAATTATTATGTAACTTCAACAGACAATCGGCCAAATAGAAAAGGCCACAAAATAGAAGAAACAGTAATACAGTTTAACTTAATAGTAACATTAAATTTTTAACAACTTTCAGTAGATAACTAAAACCTTTCAATAATGTACTATAAACATTTCCAACACAATTTTAATTAAATATTACTAAGATAATTATTAATGAAGGTAAAAAATCGTTAAGTTGTGGCAACTTACGTGTTCAGATAGAAATTGATGCAGAACACTGAATATTGAAGAAAAGGGGTTGTAAACAATTCCAAATTAGTGGGTAGTAGAATATGGTTATTCTGTCCACCTGAGAACACCAGCAAAAGTCACTGCATCGTTTCTTTTTTTTTTTTTTTCGTGGGAGAGGGGAAATCTTCGAAAGACACCCAGCCGACCGTACGACTGGGTAGTGTTGGATTCCCTAACAGGAGGACCTACCAACTAAAACCCCTCTCCCTCATAATAGGTTTTGGTAACAATGGTACACCTAAAAATAAAGAAAAATTAATTATAAAAATGTTTACATGGCACATACGAAATTTTTGCAGAAGCGTCATGCAGAAGGGGATGGATCTAAGTCAAAGGGGAAGAAGTAACGTCATCGTTGGTGAATGTGAAAATAATGCATATTCTAGTTACAAAATACCTCATAAAAAAGTCGGAAATATGCATAAAAAGTGAACGTTAGTCAAGCTTTTCAGCAACACTTACCGGAACTTATGGCTGGGCAACTTAAACATAAGCTCGTAGGGGGGCGGCGATGATCAATGACTGTGAAATCTGTAAAAAATATAAACATTATACTTATAAAGGTACATACATACTACTTTCTACAAAAACTATGCATAAAAAGTGAACGTTAGTCAAGCTTTTCAGCAACACTTACCGGAATGAGTGGCAAAGCTAGTCAAACAGTAGTTCGTACGGGGGCGGCGATCATCAGTGGCTGTAAAATCTGTAAAAATAATGAAAATTATACTTAGAAAGGTACCGCACGGAATATGTTCAAGAAACAGTATGCATAAAATTGAACGTTATTAAAAACTTTTTCGAATTATTTACCTGAAAGTGTGGCAAGACAAGTTAAAGAGAGGCTCGTAGGAGGGCGGCGATCATCAGTGGCTGTAAAATCTGTAAAAATAATGAAAATTATACTTAAAAAGGTACCGTACCAAATACTGTCTAGAAAACGTATGATGCATAAAAATTGAACGTTGGTCAAGCTTTTTAGCAACACTTACCGGAATCTGTGGCAAGATAACTTAAAGAGAGGCTCGTAGGGGGGTGGCGATGATCGGTGACTGTAGAAGCTGTAAAAATAATGAAAATTGTAGTTACAAAGGTACAGAATACTTGTAGAAAAAATATGCATAAATATTGAACATTAGTCAAGCTTTTCAGCAACACGTACCGGCAAGAAGAAGGAGAACCTCGTAGGGGGATAGTGATCATCAGTTACTGTGAATGCTGTGAAAATAATTAAAATTATCTTGTTGTGTTCATAATTATTACTACTGCAGAGGCAATCATAAGTAAATTTTTATACACTGCAATGATACAGTATATTGTGAGTATTTTGGGGATACGAATAAATTATTTCTCTACAAAACTAAACATATAATTAAATGTAGACAACAATTACACCCTCCGGGTCAACAAGTTTATTCCTAAGGATACAATTTTCACTCTACTAAATACAATGTCATTTATTCAATACCACTATGAAACATTCGTATGTTCCAAAGAGAGGACGAAATGTTTGTATATTACAAGAAATAGAATAATCCTGAGTAAAGACCAAGGAAACAATCGTTGTTATTACGTTGATAAACGAAACAGTTCCAAATGTTCGAAACATGTATTTGTATGTCAAATCTTTCGTTCTATTAAGTATTAACACGTTTGTAACGTTTTAAAATTGTTTTAAATCATTTATTTGTATGATGGCGTGCGTACATACAATTCTTCAGTAAACGCACTTAATCAAAAGTACGGAAATAATCTGTTCTGTAACTTGTAACAGAAGTTTTCAAAAATTGCCACATAATGTGCGATACGAATATGTAAACAATGCCGCAGCTATTAATTAAGACATCTAAACTGAACAACATGAAATATATTTAGTTATTCAAACCAGTACAAACAATTTACATAGATGTAAATCCCACAAAGGTAATCGCAGTTAGCTGTTTTGGAATTGTTTTTTAATTGATTCAACTTCAACATCCATATAGCAATGAAATTCAATATACATAAAGCAATCGTCCGCGATGTTTCGCAAAAAGGCCATGTAAGGTGTGTTTGTAAGTTATATGGAAATCTTTACATACGTATAACACACACACACTTTCATCCAATTAAAAAACGAAGATGTGAGATAAGTGTAATCATAAATAATTATAAGAGAACACATTCGGAAACATTACTTTACTATTTTCTGCGATTACCTGCAAATAATATCAATACTTTGCAGTAGAAATAACGCAGTGACTGTTTTAAAAAAACAAATTGTTATAATACATTCCTTCCTCCTTCAAATGATTCGACCAGACTTCAACTGAACTGCTTTATTGAAGAACTTAGAATGATTATATAAAAGAACAATACAATTTGTGAACGGCGTTTCAAGGACAATATATATGCCGTGTGCACACTTTTTCAATATACAGGTCTGCAGAGAGTCTAAACAATAACCCGATTAATTCTGCGAAATGCCGATAAGTAATCCCGCCGACCTGTACATTGCTCACATCTATTACATGTGTGCCAAAACAACATTAACAATAATATTACAAAAGAAATACAGTTCACTACATAAAAAAATACAACAAAATGCGTAACACAAGTGTGCAAAAAGTAGGTACGTTTTGTAGACTGATGGAGAAACATATACATTACAGTGAACGCAAAGGAAGAAAAAAAATTGCGTTAAAAATAACAAAAGAAGACAAGGAAGACGATTGAAGTTAATTTTTCGGTAAAATCATGTTTTTGCGGAAATTTCCCATTAAATATGCCATAGTTATAATTCTTTGCCAATTGAATTTTATAAACAATAATGTATAATTATTATCCTCATTTTAATCAGTAAACTTTAAGTAATTTTCCAACTAAAATCCCTGTCCCTATGTTAGCGTACTTCATTAGGTGTATATTACACAAACAAGTGTACAGTCACGGAAAGAAAATTATTGAATATTTATATTTATATTTTCCTCATTTGCATATTTGCGAATGTTGTTTTCTAAATTGTAATTATTTGTGCAACAAAATTAGAACTGTAATTCATTTACAGGATGTGCGTCAACAGTACACGAAAAGTTTGTTTCGGTACGGTGTTTTGTACTTTGTCAAATTACCGGATTAGTAGTTTGCATTAGGAACATTATTCACTCTTTTTTGTCAAGTGAATTTAATAAAACTTAATTTTGCAAGCACATGTCATTTAGTTCCAGTGTATAATTGAGTAAGAGAAAAATAAATCACTGCCGAGCAATCAGTTATGTAGGTATAATTTTCTTTCATTCAAATCCAAGTCCAAATTCGCACTACAACAGAAGCAAGGTCACGAGCAAGCGAAACGAAATGTACATATAGGTACTTCATAAACAAATAAACTGTTTCCGATAACGATGTCTATTTTGTAGATTATACATTATACGTATTAATACCCACCACAGTCAAAACATTCGTTAGGTCATTAGTCATTATTGAAATAATTTTCCCTATTCAATTTAGCATTACACATACGACACATATTATTATTATAATACACAAACACATCATACGTGTATGTTGGACATCTCATACAAAAAACAAAACAATTTCAATTTCTCTTCAATGAACAACGTTTCTGGTAAAAACCTAATACTAACAAATATAGCATAAGTCTAAACTGCATTTTACACTATTTGGTCAAGGAAATTACAATTTTTTCAATTACCGTTGAACCGTACAATTTATGTACTACTTCTTTTCTTCTCATGTAATTAGATGTTAAAACAGTATTCATTTCTTCCTTTTCATATTCGACTATTAGGGAAAATATTGAATGCAAGTTTTAGTGGCGTTTCGGTAACTTCCATTTCGCCAAGTATTGCGGTGTACATATTTAAAAGAAACTCGTATATCAATAACAATTGATAGATTACAGCATTTACCTAAGAAGTATGAGTTCAATTGTACTTTGCAGTATTATAAGACGTTAACAATGTTCAATCAGCCTTCCTTCTGATTTTGCCCATTTTATGTTTATTATGCAAAAAACCTATGAAACTACGAACACAATTTTGTCAGTATCGTCTATCGACTTGTACCGATTTGGTTTTATTTTTTTTTTTAGAAATGACCCTAACATAAGGAACGATAGTGCCCGCTTATTTCCTTTTGCATAACTTCATTTTGTTCATAAACACACTTTTAATGAGATAACAGAATAATAGGTACCTATATACAAATGTCATATTATTTGATTTATTT